GCCTAGGGATACCCCTAACTATTACTTTATTAATAATTACATGTTTCTTCTAGAACACAANTTGTACACAAAACTGTAAAACAGTCCAAAAAAAATGAGAATATATGAGTAGTAGGTTAAACGTCAAAATGTTGTGGCAATACACTGTTAATAAAATAAAAACTATTTTATAAAACTAAACATGCCGCAAAGGCAACAAAAAATGAACAACATCGCGGTAATCATAATTTTGGCCCAATATCCGACATGTGTNGACCCAGGGATACCCCTAACTATTACTTTATTAATAATTACATGTTTCTTCTAGAACACAAGCATAATGTGCTACTTACCACGTGCTACCTTCAACCCATTATGCATAGTAACAACATCTTGCAATATCCTAGAATCAACAACTGACCTTTCCCAGCTAGAAAGCACATAAATGAACTTCATGTTTGGTGTACAAACACCCAATACATTTATTGTTATCCCACCTCTACGTGTTTTATATCTAGATTGATAGACAAGAGGNGGAAGCACAAAAATGAACTTCATGTTTGGTGTACAAACACCCAATACATTTATTGTTATCCCACCTCTACGTGTTTTATATCTAGATTGATGGACAAGAGGTACTCAAGCATGAACACAAGTGACATCTAATGCACCCACACAATTCTNGAAAGCACATAAATGAACTTCATGTTTGGTGTACAAACACCCAATACATTTATTGTTATCCCACCTCTACGTGTTTTATATCTAGATTGATAGACAAGAGGTACTCAAGCATGAACACAAGTGACATCTAATGCACCCACACAATTCTACAAAGCCAAAGGAATATAAATTTTTTTGCACTTTCAGTCGAGCAATAAAACCTAAGAAAGGAAATGAAAAAAGGCATAATAAACAATGTTGAAATGAGTTTCACACTAGGCTTACCTTAAACCACTTCCATTTATTGTCAGTACTGTTCTCAAGCACTGGTTTTGGTGACTGTAGCAATAACCTACGCAACCTCAACACCACAATACGCACATTGTTGAAATGTTGACTAACCATTTCAATTGAGCGAAGAAAATTGAACTTAACTAGTTTATATTTGTTATCATGAGCTAAAATCCTAGTTGAACTTAACCATCCCACATCATGGACCATATTACACAGCACAACAAACATGTGTCTATCCATCCTCAATTGGTTTATACAGGTTTTGTCACTCTCGCCGATAAGACGGTGCAAGTGTTCAATCTGTAACCAATTCTTATGGAAGTGTCGTGGAACTTTAGATGTCGTAGCTTTGTTTTCCATGTCTCATATCATCACCATTATAGACACCATAAGATTAAATACAATTACCATATCCCAAATAGTTCTATTCATAATGGTAAATAAGATACATAATTCATCTGGTCCATGTTTACCTAATTCATCAAAAACAATTCATCTAATAACTTTGTTATCACCCATAAAGGCTCTCTCAAAAAAATGGTGTAACGCAATTATCCACGTGCGTCAACTTGTAAATAACTATATATAGTATCTTATTAAGACATATAAATTCAATTATTTTAGTTTGTAGAATTATTAAATAAATTAGAAAAATTAACTCAAATTTATCATTCGTACATACTTACAACTAAAAACAAACGTAGCATAAAAAACAAAATAAATTCTATGTTACTTCGTTATCTAAAGAAATATGTAAACAATATCACATTGGTCAAAGGCTTCAACCTCACAAATCTTCTAATAATCAAAAACAAAATACATCGAGAAAAATATACAACAGCCCTTGTACACAAAACTGTAAAACAGTCCAAAAAAAATGAGAATATATGAGTAGTAGGTTAAACGTCAAAATGTTGTGGCAATACATTGTTAATAAAATAAAAACTATTTTATAAAACTAAACATGCCGCAAAGGCAACAAAAAATGAACAACATCGCGGTAATCATAATTTTGGCCCAATATCCGACATGTGTGTGTGCTCTTAAGATACTCTGTGTTTGTGCGTTTACGTTTCAATCATCGTATATGTGTGTGTGTGTGTGTGTTTATGTTACTATGTCTGGGAGTGTGTTTTTCTTTTACTATGTGTTGGTTAGGAGATCTCAACATAAAGATAGACCCACAAAGAAAGAAAGAGAGAGAGAGAGAGAGAGAGAAGAGATGGGTGATTCTGCTATTTTGTGTGTCTTCATTTTTACTTTATTTTGTGTTGGGTAGAATGGTATACAGAGAGAAAGACAGAGAGGAGCGATACATATAAAGAGAAAGAGATAAAGTGAGAGAGAGATACAAAATTACAGAACGATACATAAAGAGAGAATTATACACCCATATACAGAGAAAGAGCAAACGATACACCCACAGAGATAGTGACACACCCATAAAGAGAGAGAGAGAGAGTGATACACCCACAGAGAGAGATATAGAGAAGAGAGGCNTTCTAAAATTTATACACGCGTAACACTTAGACATAAACTCCTATCATCAATGTTCGTTAGTATATCTGTCAGTAAATTACGTCTAAACCCCCTAAAATTTATAAACATATAATACTAAGACATTTCAAGTTTAAAATNTAGCGATACAGAGAAAGAGATAGAACATACCTTGGTAATGGGGGATCAGTTTGGCGTTGTTCCAAGGGACAAGTGAAATGGAGGGAAGAACGGATAAAAAAACTCTAGCACTTGCTTTAGAGGGGTATTTAGGTAAATACCACACATATCCTGTCAGTTGCTTACAAATCCCAAAGTTTAGGTGGGTTAATTTTATCCATTTCAGAGTAATAACTGGCCCCAAAAGCAATGACTTCGATTTTGTGAAAGCCAACGATTATCTAGCCTCCATATGCTTTGTTGGGCTCTAAATTTTTTTTATCCAATCCAACTTATGCTATCTTGATTTATTCATCAAGCCCAACACTCTCTAGGGGCTTGTTTGGATGGATTTTTGGAGAGAGTTTGAATTGGCTTCTCCAAAGCCTTTCAAACCCAAAATACAAACCCCTCTTTACAAAGATGATATTCAACATTAAATCCGATTCATACTCATGTTTAGTATGCAACACATACATATGTAGGTCTTACTAATATATCATAATTATTAGCAACTATTTGTTCTGTAAATGACTATTTTACCATTAATTAATCAAATTCATACCTATGTTAAGGAGTACAATTATCTTTTACATCATTAACCCATTAACCTATCTTTCCAAACCCATCTCTCCCTAGGTTTGACGAAATCTATGATCATGAGTTTAATATTCGGGGCAACTATGAGTCGAGTTTGAGAACCCATGATTGAATTTTCAATTCAAAGATGATATTTGTGGATCCTTTGGACTATTTTTCCCAAATTCATCCCTCTCATACCCTCAGTACCCCCTTACCAAACAACTCTTAGGGGTATGAGAAGTGTTGAACTTGAAATTTCTCAATTACTAAATGTCAAACTCAATCACTTAACCATTCCTAAGGGTTTATTTAGATCTAATTTCTTAATATAATTATTTGACTTAATCTATCACAACTATTGAATTAATTTCAAGTTGTAATAAATACCAAAACTCACTATCAATCAAATAATTTCTAATCAAAAAGTCAACAATTATGTCATAAATTCTAATTATATAATTTACTCACATATCCCGTTACTTAATTTCTTTCAAAAAAAAAAACAAAAAAAAGAAGGAAGAATTACATCCAGACTCCTTAATTAATCACTTAATTAATTAAATTTCCTAATATTTAAAATATTACACATAAACCTTCTAAAATTTATACACGCGTAACACTTAGACATAAACTCCTATCATCAATGTTCGTTAGTATATCTATCAGTAAATTACGTCTAAACCCCCTAAAATTTATAAACATATAATACTAAGACATTTCAAGTTTAAAATATTATATTTAGACAAAACATATTCTAATTAAAAATAGAGTATCAAATATTTTATATTTTACAACAAAATTTATATTCTATTATATCATTTATCGAAATAAAATCAAAAATAAAAATCTAATTTTTTCTTAAAATTTTTTAATTAATATACAATTATATTATCTATTAAAATAAAACTAAAAAAATCAAACAAAGGGGTCTAAATCATTCATAATAGAACATGAATTTTACAACCATAATTCATATTCTATTATTTCATTTATTGAAATAAAATCACACTAACAGTTAAACTGTAATAGACACAATATCATATACTTTAATTAGAGTAATTTGATAGTTTAAACGACTAATAGTATAATTGTATACTAATTATGATTTTTTAAGAAAACATTGAAATTTTATTTTACTTCAATAAATATTATAACAGAACATGAATTTTAGTTATAAAATTAAAAATATTTGATATTATATCTTTAATTGTGATATTTTTTGTCTATGTATTATATTTTAAACTTAAAAGATCTAAGTGTTACACGTTTACAAATTTTAAAGATTTTAAGTATAATTTACTCACGGATATTAAAATAGGATCTAGGTGTTAGCATAAGAGTCTTTANTATCTATGTATTACATTTTAAACTTAAAAGATTTAAGTGTTACACGTTTACAAATTTTAAAGATTTTAAATATAATTTACTCACGGATATTAAAATAGGATCTAGGTGTTAGCATAAGAGTCTTTAAATAATATTTAAATGATTTGGTGGCAAATTTTGGTAATTCTCCGCCAAAAAAAAAACCCACACACAATGACCAACCGGGTTGGACGCTGGTGCGAAGGTCGGACGGAGATAGGCTTGGATACTGCTTTAGGCAACCAACAGCTCAGGTAGTGCCCCTGGCTTCTCTCTCTCTCTCTATCACCCAACTCTGCCATTTCTGTTAGTCTGTATAGCCGTTTAAGCATCCTCTTCATTACTTTACCCCCNTCTATCACCCAACTCAGCCATTTCTGTTAGTCTGTATAGCCGTTTAAGCATCCTCTTCATTACTTTACCCCCCTAAAAAAAAGGAATCGTCTTCAAACTCACTCTCTCTCTCTCTCACATACACACACACATCAGTGTCTTCTCATTTGTCTCTCTTTGTTACTGAGAATAGTTTCCACTGGAGAAGAGGAAGTTGAGGGAGGTGTATGACGTTGCAATTTCTAGGGTTCTTGAGGGGGTTAATTGGTTTAGATGGGGACTAGGCTTCCAGTTCATCAACACTACAATTTGAGATCGGCCAATTCATTTATAGGCAGCTCTTTGCACGACCTGAACACCGTCGATGGTCGATCATCAGATCTCGAAGGCCTTGGCGGTGACGTGGACCGCGATGCCGTCACCGAAGATAGCTTGGACAACGACGAGGAGTCCAGTGCCGTCGTGAATGTAATGTTCCATGCTTTTTATATTTTCCACTACTTAGTTTTAACAAAATAAGGGCAGTTTTCTTTGCTGGCAATGTGTTGATTAACAGTGACTATCACTTCAAGGGATGTTGATTTTGAGAAGCCATTAGTTGTAGTTTTCTTAGATTGGGTATTGGAAGAATGGGTTCTACAGTAAGCCCTATTTAATGTCTTACCAAACAGCCTAGACAGCCAGCTACTCTGTATGTTCCGTCAAACACATACCTATTTAAAAGATTGTGATTTATTCGTATTCCCTATGGATCAGGATAATGGTTGTCATAAATCCAAAATTGGGGTTTTGATAGAGTAATTTCCTTTTTTCTAATTAAAACTTAGATGCATGTTTTTTTGCCTTGAATCCAGATAGAAATTTGAGAAGTCAGAGGAGTTGGAATAGAATTCCAGTCGCTTCAGTTAAGCGCAAATCTTTTCAGGTTTAGAGTCTATTTGGGTTGATTTCGTTGTTGTAGTAAGAGTGTTTTGGGTTGATGTGGATTTTGTTGTTCTAATTTGGTGAATTTCTTGAATCTCTACAGTTAAATTATTTCATGTGTTTATTTATTTACTACAACTAAAATGGGTCGATGATAAGATTGATTACTAAATTTATGATTTTGCTCGGTGAAAGACAATAAATGTTTTTAAACTGAAAAAGTTGATATATACTTTTTACGGTTAAAAAAAAAATTCCTCCACCTGGTTTATTTTAGGCTACCAATTCCAATATCGACATTTTTTGTGTGCCCAGTCTCAAATCCGTCCATGGAATATTTGATTTGCAAAGCTTCTTCAATCAATATGTCATGGTTAAGCAGTCATGTGTCTTGTATGTGTTGGAAATTTCAACATGTGAATAATGTTGGTTGAGTCATTGAGTAATTACTATTGCATTTCTTTTGATAAGTAAGTACTCAAGGTGACATAAAGTTCGGACCACAGCCCTTTCATTCACGATGTATATATAAGCAAGGCTTAGCATTTACTATTATTGAAAGATTCTCAAAAATCTGTAACCCAAAAATTCCTCATTGCATGCTTCTAACTACAATAGTGTTGCATATTCTTTGGTTACATGAATTAAGTGAATAGAAAGGGAGTTTTAATTTTATTTTCATAGTTAATGCAAGGACACTAGCCTTTTGCACTTGCCTTCTCGTATTTTTCTTTTTTGTTTTGTAATGCAGTTAATCTTCACTTGGTAAAAAAGTAGAAATTAATGTACCAATCTAAGCAAACAATTACTAATTTTTTTTTTTTTTGGTTAATGACAAATGTGATGGCCAAGTTAGACAGCCAGAGAAGGAGAAATATAAAATAAACACAGCACATCTCCATTTTATTTAGCAGTTGTTTACACCTATAGTTAGATATGCTAAAGAATTTGCACAATTTCCTATATATACTCCTAAGAGGATAAATGATATTATTTTTGTGTTCTAGTTGGGTTGATCCCCCACGGTTGGCTGGGAGGGGGTAACTCTACTTTCTTGAGTCAGATGACTTAGACACAGACTGAGCTTTTAGAGGGAGGGAGCTCAGGGAGGAGAGAGATTGAGGTATTGCCTAGTATAGTCAGTTGACAAAGCCATCCATGATCCCATGCTTCCAAAATCACTTGACATTTGTTCTCTTTTTTTTTATATTCACAGACACATGTATAGAAAAAAAATAAAAATTTTTGGGGGGTTGAGAGAGAAAGAGAGTACTTTTCTTCTTCTTTATGTTCTTTTTTACTTTTCTCCTCTTTTCTATTTGTCTTTTTGTTGATGGGATGTGCCGGTATTTATTCTTCTGTTAGGCCTTTTCTTCGATGTTTGAATCTAGAGGTGTCAATTGTGTCGTGTCACTTTCAGTCGTGTTATTTTCGTGTCGTATCACTTTCAGTACGTGTCGGGTTCATGTTAATAAAAAAATATTTAATTCGACATCAACTCATATAATACTATTTAACAATATAAAATTCTTATTTTCTGTCTACCATATTCGTTAAATACTTATTTTCTATCTTCAATACCCATTAATCGTGTTATTCGTGTCGAATTTTAATTTGACCTATTTATTACACGTGTCAACTAATCGTGTTATTTTCGAGTTTTGTGTCGGGTCAGGTTCGTGTTAACGGATAAAATTGACACCCCCACTTCAAAAATAATACTAAATAAGGCTTTAATCTTCTTAATGTTTGTTACGCCATACTTTAGACTAAAATTTCATAACGGATCATGGATGGCTTTGTTACGCCATACCCCTACTAAAATTTGACTAAACAATTGGGGATTGGGGGTTCAATGATGAACTTTTGTTTGTATTGTGAATTTTTTGATTTGAGTTGTTTCTGTCCGAATACCATCACCGTCGAACCTTAGGCTACGATTTTGATGTCATTTTTGGTAATGAAGTCCTATTTAGAACAGAACATTGGAGCAATAATTGATGATGGATTGTGTTCCCTATTCTTTTGGGTCCATTCTTCCCCTACCAAAACTTGTGTTTGGCCAACCAAATGAGACTGTGGTTGAGTCTCTTTTGGGTTGATGTTGCAGTTTAAGAAGTCAGTGGGTAATAACATCTGTTTAGTTATTAAGCAAAATCTTTATGGAGTGGACCCTTTAGCCTTATGTTATCCTCCTTAGTTTGTTCCTACGAATTACTTCTATCCAACTTCTGGCATCTACTTGTATTTACTTGTCAGCATGAAGGTTACTTCACTTTTAAGCTGTCAGTTAGAACTTAGAATAATTAGTGGTGTAAATCTCAGAAGGCATGCTGGTGAATGTTTTTTGATTCTTTCTTCATTATCTTTTCATTTTTCCTACTTTCTCACATTAGTTTCTCTCATCAAAAAGTTGTGACCCTGTTTCTTCCACCTTTTGAAATCTTATTCCAGACCTGCCTTTCCTCCATCCTTTTGTCCCCCATAGACTGCCATGAGGACCCAACCTGTGTACAGATTATGTATAAATGTAAAAGAGAAAAAAAAGTAGCTATGATGGATGCAAATAGTCCTTAGTCTTCTAGGCATCCCGATGCAGCCCACTGTATTGAAACCAATGAGACTATGACCGTGCCCTCATGGCATACACCTTCTGAGATTTTGAGAATTCCATCAGTGATCTGGTCATCACCAAAGACGCTTTGCTCAGGAAAGCAAACCAGGCGACAATTTTCCCCCACTAAGCAATGCAAGAGTAGGCGGTCTCCTGCTTTTCATTTACAACACTACTATGGAATAAGTTTCAACCCCTTCCACACTATGCTCCATAGTCTCTGCTCTCACTTCTTTTAATAGTGTCCTTCATTATTACAGATGACATATAATCATAGTTAGCTATCATAGATTATTGGTGCTAAGTAGAAAGCACAGCCCCGTGCAACAATAACCGCCAGTGTTACCCACTCTTCGCACATTTAAGCATCTACTGATCTCTTTAATTCCTATCTATTCGTTTACAGTTTTCTTTCATGCCATTACATTTAAAATTTTACTTTTGTATACATAAAAGAGAAACTTAGCCTTCTATTGTGTTACACTGTTGGCGTAGGCCAATAGGAGGTTTTGTTTTCTGAAACAGTTAATGAACAATCAAGATTATAATATCAAATTATTTTCTCTTCCTACAGTCTATTAGCAGTCAGCAGAGCCCAAGTATTTCCCCCATTATATTCTCTTTACAGATTGTTATGGCTTATGTAATGTTAATCTTTCAGGACTGTATGCATGAATCCTACAGGAACTCTTTACCACTTCATGGCGTCGGGGTGGAGGAAGACCGTTCTAGCCTCGAGAATAATGGGCCTTCAAGGGGTTCCTACAATATTTTCACAGTTGATGGTTAGGCAACTTTCGTCTTTTGTTTTGATTTTAAGACAAAGAACATAGAAGTTTTATGGGCCAGTACTTTCTGATCGACTGACTTGACTATAACTTTGATTTAGATGTATCACCAATTGAAACAGCAAGGACAAGATTTTTGGATATCATTGTGGACCACTTTATAAAGTCATATGTAATTGAAGTGCCTGATTCTGAGGCTGACTATGCGGCTCAATCTGCACAAGATAAACTAAGCAAGAGGAAGTCAAGAGAGACCCGATGTGAAGGCGATGCACGATTTGTTTTACCCTTGATGTATGTGGCAAATATGTATGAAACTTTGGTCAGTGAAGTGAACATAAGATTCTCTTCTCTGAATGGCATGCGTGAAAAGACCATTGGTGTTGCCCTTGAAGCTGCTGGAGGTTTGTACAGAAAGCTTGCCAAGAAATTTCCTAGGAAAGGTATTACATTTCTCTCTCCCTATGGAGGTTATCATAGATAATGTGAAACCAATTTCTTTGGAGTAAAATAGAATTTGAACCAATTTACTTGGGCAAAAGAAATTTCCAGTCTGTTGCATAAACTTTTGCTCTAATCTTATCTATTATGAATAGGATTCAAGATGAAATTTGTGCTGAGGTTTTAGTATCTATTACTTGAGGTCTTTCCTCCTCCCTCCAACCCCAGCACACAAAATCTGAAAAGGGGGAAAAATTTTCATGCATTTCTTATGCAAAAATAAGATACATGAGAAATTGGTCTAGCCTGTGGTGTATATATTTGCTCTCTTTTGATCCAGTTCATGTAGGATTTACTAAGAAGTTGGCATATCAGGTTTGAGCATCCATGAGGTTTATCCCATTTTTCCCTTAATTGAAGTCTTCCTCCTCTCCACCCCAACACACCTGGTATGCCAGGCATTCCTTATCTCACTCATGTGGCACCTGGAGTGATCCGGTGAATCTCAACAGGAATCATCATGCATCCTTTTTCATTTATTGGCGTGTAACCTTTTGATATTTGCATGCAGGACCCTACATATTTAAAAGACGGGAACTGGCAACTTCTTTCGAAACGAGGTCGAGATTTCCGGAACTAGTCATACAAGAAGAGAAGCGTGTTCGTTTTGTTGTGGTGAATGGTTTGGCCATCAATGAAAAACCAACTAGTATGTGTATTGATGATGCAGAGTGGTATGTTGGAACCTTGAATTTGGTTCGTTTGCCTTGGTTCTTTATGCTTATTTCCCAATGGAATAATTATTTAAGCACACTAAACATATACTTACTATTTACATTGCAATTGGAAGATGTGTTTTTGATATTCATATTGCAAAGGCTCTTCTACATTAGAGCTTTACTTAAAAAATATTGGTCTTCAAGTAAGTTGACATCCTTGTATGAAAGGGAAAAAGATACATAAGAAGGTATTAAAAGGTGAATTATTGAATAAGAGCTCAGCATGAGAGGAATCCATTTGGTCTTGCAAAACAAAGTATGATCTAAAGTCACATGATTAGCGATCATCTAAAAACAAAAGAGGGTAGCAAGAAATTTCTTTGTGCATCTCAGGTTTAAATGATGTGCTACATGTGAGTTAGCACGGAGCATGTCTTCTTCCCTTAAAAAGTTTTGGGAAAATTTCACATTGACCCCGTGACCTTAGGTCAAACTACACAACGACCCCTTGATATTTCAAAAATAACACGGAGACCCCATGAGGTTTGTGGCATTAGTTACATATAGACGCCCTCTGTTTAATGGACTTTAGAACCCTAGCAAAAAGCGCTGAAGTCATTCCTAAAAAAATCATATATTTCCAAATTGCCCTTCTTTGTTAGAAGACCATTTTGCCCTCACCATTTTTCAAACACTCCACTTGAAAATTAGTTAACCAAACAAAGCTTGATTCAAAGCTAAATTTATTTTAATTTCAACCCAAATCTAATCTAATGTATTAATTAAGCTAGTTTTCTTTCTATTGAAGTATAAATACTTGAGTGACACCCTTTTCAATAGTTTAAGTTTTTGGAGTAGATGGTTGTTTAACTTGATATCAGAGCCAGATGTCATATGTTTGAATTTCGTCGCCACCTTAATTATTAAAAGGTTTCTATGTGCTAGTACCAAAATTTAGCGTATATGTGAGGGGACATGTTGAAGTATAAATACTTAAATTACACCTTCTCCAATTGGCCGACTCGTGGGTGCTTGTTGTTGAGGTAGTTAAAAGAAAGAAATTGCGCATTTACTAACACCGGTGGGTTTTGGTGCAATGGTAAGCGTTTCGATTCAATAATTGATAGCAGAGGTAGGTCACTGGTTCGAGTCCCAAGGTAGTTGTTGAGGGGGAAATTGTTGGCTTAGGTAGAGTTGCAACAAGTCTTGTTGAGCCTAGTGAAATTTTTAACCAACCCGACCTCTTAGCACTTGTTGCTTCCATGGCTCTCCCTTATTCTTTCATCTAAATGCTTTTCTCTCACTTTTTTCTCTCCTCTCTCGCTGTCACTTTTGCTTTCTCCGTCTTCCTCCCTTTTATGTCGTATCTATTTTCTCTTGCTTATGCCATCTAGCTCATCACCTTTCTCCTGCTCTCTTTCTCTCCTTTCTTGATTTTGCGCATCCCCTTTTCTTATCTCTTGACTACAAACATTTTTTGTTTTTGGTTTTGTTTTTTGGGGAAATTCATGGGTTTCTTCATCATATCGATCACGGTTTAGAGTATCAGCTGATACTGTTACACATTACATATAAATTTCGAGTCTCACACAACTTTGTCAAGTCACCAGAGTTGTCTGCGAGTCAATTNTTTTTTTTGGGGAAATTCATGGGTTTCTTCATCATATCGATCACGGTTCAGAGTATCAGCTGATACTGTTACACATTACATAAAAATTTCGAGTCTCACACAACTTTGTCAAGTCACCAGAGTTGTCTGCGAGTCAATTCCTACTCGCCAAGTTATCGTCTCCAAATTGACCGGTAAGGTTCCGTGACGCTACGATATGGCCTTAATCTCTTATCATGCTCAACATTTTTTTTAGGTCATATTGCCCGATACTACAACACAACTCCGCAATCGATCTTCTCAGAGCTTTTTGAGTCAATGACTGATATTACGACCTTGAACCATGATACTGACGAAATGAATGCAACAGTGTCTGAATATCAGCTCGAATGTGAACATAAGTTGTTAGGTTTCGGGTTGGTTAAAGATTTTATTTTAATTATTGATAAAATTGAGATGAAATGGAAGATAAATTCTTAGAATTGAGTGATTGATTGGTAAAATTTTGCTAAAATTCAACTGCAATTTTGTTGAGATTAAATTATTTCGGATATGAACAGATCGGATGATTGGCCACATATTTGATTATTATTGGATTTAGATATAGACTAAAATTTTGATATCCATCAGATAAACAGATTCAACTATTATTCGATTCAGACTCATTTTCTATTCGGGTTCAGATTGACCAATATCTGGTCTGATCTCGATCCTTTAACTGGTCAATATAGCACCACCATTAAAGCTTTCACCACATAAACCTGCCAACCACCAAACTCGATCACCCCAACCTAACACTGATACAATACCCAACTGGAGCCTTTTTTCACACAGCATGTTGCCACCCCGTCTACCCCCATTGTATACCCTTCCCTTGCAGCCACCCCTACCCTTTCCCCCTAGTAGTCTCACCATTTTGACAATTTTGGCAGCCAAACTTAGAGATTTGAGAAGCCCTATGGTGCCACCAAGTTCCCCCAACAATAGCCCTATCTAAACCACCATCGACCACCCCATCAAACCCAGCTAAATCAAACTCTAAATAAATGAGGAAACTCCAATTGAGTGAGCAACCACAACCACTCGCTACCACCACCACAACCTATAAAACTCAGTTCAATAAAACTCTAGATGAGTGTGGGAGAGGCGGATCTTTGGATTTATCAATCTTTGATGTTTTGGATCTTAGATTCAATGGATTTCTCTTATAAATCTTTGTTTGTGTCATTGATAGATCAATCTTTTCTTCCAAAATTTGAATTTGGATGTATAATTTGGACATCAAAGGCACCTTTAAACGTTCAAATATTTGCACGATTGTTTACACGTAAGAAACTCAACACTAATGAGTTGTTCCCAAAAAAAAAAGGCTATTATATTATCCTTATCCGCAATGGTGCATTCTTTGCAAGAAGGAAGCAGAGTGTGTGGACCACTTGGTCATGCATTATTCTTTTATCACTAAATTATGGCATAGAATGTCAGAGGTCATAGGAATCCTTGGATGTGTTGAAAACGCTGACTTGCTATTCTCTAGTGGGTACGAACATAGTTNTTAACACTAATGAGTTGTTCCCAAAAAAAAAAGGCTATTATATTATCCTTATCCGCAATGGTGCATTCTTTGCAAGAAGGAAGCAAAGTGTGTGGACCACTTGGTCATGCATTATTCTTTTGTCACTAAATTATGGCATAGAATGTCAGAGGTCATAGGAATCCCTTGGATGTGTTGAAAACGCTGACTTGCTATTCTCTAGTGGGTACGAACATAGTTAGGTTTTGAAGTTTTTGAAGTTTAGAAATTGAAACAAGAACAGAGAGAAGAGAGAAAAAAATAATGTAAGAATAACATATAACATAACACTCCCTCAAATTAATGTATAAATATCTCTCATGCCCAACTTTAAAACATTAAGGTGAGACATCTTGCTACTAAGTCCTTTTGTGAAGAATTTGACCACCTGATTTNACAGGGTAGTGTGTTAGGGTTACACAATTACACCCAGCTTTTGTATAGTCATGTCAAAAAATACTAAAATACCTTTGAACTAGAATAACATATAACATAACACTCCCTCAAATTAATGTATAAATATCTCTCATGCCCAACTTTAAAACATTAAGGTGAGACATCTTGCTACTAAGTCCTTTTGTGAAGAATTTGACCACCTGATTTTCTAATTTTGCAAAAGGCATATAAATCAAAGCTTTGTTTAACTTCTCTTTAATGAAATGTCTATCAATTTTAATATGTTTAGTTCTATCATGTTTAATTGGATTATGAGCAAGATTAATAGTAGCCTTGTTGTCACAATAGTCTCATAGGTCTGTCATCATAAATTCTCAAATCTCCTGGTAATGTTTGGAGCCACATAAGCTCATAGACTTGATGGACCATTGCTTTGTATTTAGCCTCTACACTAGACCTGGCCACTACTGTGTGCTTCTTGCTTCGCCACGTGCCAAGATTTCTTCTAATTAGGGTGCAATAGCCTGAAGTAGACAGTCTATCATCCACTGAACCTGCCTAGTCTACATTGCTAAATGCTTCTCGTGTCAAGTGACCATTATTTTAGAGAACAAGATCCTTTTTCCTGGAGTTGACTTGAGACACATCAAAATGTGACAAACAACTTCAATATGGGAAGTTCAAGGATCATGCATGAATTGACTAACAACACCTATTATACCTAGCCGAGTATGTAAGAGATATATCAATCTCCCAACTAGCCTCTGGTATCTCTCCTTTTCTATGACCTTGCCAACACAAACACTTAGTCGATGGTTGACTTCAATAAGAAAATCTGTAGTACTACATCCCAACATCCCAGTCTCTTCAAGCTGGTCAAGAACAAACTTCTTATGGGAGATAAAAATGTCTTTATTTAATCTGGGAGCCTCTATTTCAAGGAGGTATTTTAATAGGCCAAAGTCTTTGATTTCAAACTCTTTAGTCAATTGAGCCTTTAATTTAGTGACCTCATGCTCATAATTCCTAGTTATCATTATGTCATCCACATATACAATGAAGACTGTAATTTTATCATCAACCTGTCTGACGAACATAGTATGATCAACATGACTTTGTTTATATCCAAAATTTAGCATGGTCTTACTCTTAAGAAACCTTCCAAACCAAGCTTTGGGAGATTGTTTTCACCCATAAAGAGACTTCTTTGACTTACACAACTTCCTCACAGTTATCTGAGACGAAAAACTTAGAGGCATATCTATGTACACCTCTTTCTCCAAGTCTTCATGGAGAAAGGTATTTTTAACATCAAACTGCTACAAATTCTATCCCAAATTAGTTGCAGAAGGGATAAGAACACATATGGAGTTCATCTTTCCACAAGGGCAAAAGTCTCTTGATAATCAATACTATATGTCTTTGTAAATCCTTAAA